AGGGTAGTGTTGCTGTCTCAAAATGAGCAGTTAGATCTAGGAAGCAAGGCTACTGTCAGTCATTTATATTAGTGATCCTGTTTATGCATCCAAAGAGCAATTTTCAATATAGGGACCAAAGCAGGATCAAATGTTTTTAAACCTTTTTTTTGTCTGGTCGCTGGCCTGTAGAAGTGCCATGCAAAGTTTTGTGGACATTGGTAAATTCCCCAAGGAGCTAGAATTTTTTTAACGCTGCCAGACGAAAGTGAACAAGCTGTAGCAAGCAAATGCGAAAGAAAGTCAAGTCAGGAGTTGAATACATTGCATGCAGCTCGAGATGACCGCAATAAGAACTGAGACAAAAATAGTTTTTGCCTATGCCTATCGTAATAGAAAATACTTCTCTCCTTGCTCACAATACAATAACTATACTTACAACATGCAATCGAGTTCCAAAAAAATGAATGTTCACATGCAATAACTTACCTAATAAGCAGAGGAAAACCAGGACGCTGATCTCCACACACACAAGCTTCATGTCGAAATCCATATACACACACTGTTTTCCAGGAGGTAGTTATCACAAACGATACCGTACACGAAAGTTCAATCTCGCATGGGAGTAAGCACTGTCTATGTCTGCCCGTTTATTTCCGGGAGACGACTAGAGTTAATATCTCCCTCTCGTTCAATGGGTGATGTCCGCCCAAGTTATCCATTCGCCGTCCAGGAATTCGCTACCTCAGTTGGATCATCTGTGGAAAAATAAAATAAATAAAACTTAGCTCTAAAGAGAGGCAAGTGGCCAAGGGACTAACTTGACAAAGAATTGTCATTTATTTCTTTTTTTATTGATCTTTTGCCCCTAGGTTACCTTGTTAAAATATTGTAGTTGTAGTTGGGGGTTTTTTGGGGTTTTTTTCAAAAGCAATGCACAATCAGACAAGGACGCCAGATCACCAGTTCCGTATCTGTGATACTCAGACTGGTAATGGGAAAGGGGTAAGGGGGTGGGGTGGGTGGGGGGTAAATACAATTTTCATGTCCTAGTGTTGTTTTGGGATCAGTTCTTACGGAATCATTATTGGATTAATATGCATGAAAAACACAAAACCTATCTATCTATCCATCTATCTGTCTATCTATCTATCTTTCTATCTATCTATCTATCTATCTATCTATCTATCTATCTATCTATCTATCTATCTGTCTGTCTGTCTCTCTGTCTATTTATCGATCTGTCTATCGAGTTGTTTTTTTTACTTTCCCGTGGATCTATCATTAATTTACTCTCTCTCCTTCTCCCTCTTTCTGTTTCCTCTATTCCTTTCTCGATCTCTCGACCACTGCCTCCCACTATTTCTCTCCCCCCCCTCTCTCTCTCTCTCTCTCTCTCTCTCTCTCTCTCTCTCTCTCTCTCTCTCTCTCTCTCTCTCTCCCTAAGATCGATTAGCTTTATTGGACACAACTTCGTGTGCTTCATCAGAGTAAAATGAGGGCCACCTAAAGTATATAATTCTCACATAACTGTACTCAATTCTTCACACCTGGTTGATTGAGATAAGAAGCTGCGTTTACTGCTTCTCGTAAATTGCTGTGAATAAACGAGCAGGGACGCAAGAGCTTCAAACTAACTGACAAAAGAACAAATGGACGAACAAAAATAGACCGATACACAGACAAAAATGTGCACAGACGACAAAATAGACTGAGAGACAGATAAAGAGACAAGAAGAAGAGGATGTAGTAAAAAGTGGAACTGTAGTGGAGATCTGCAATGTCTTCAGTCACTGGCGGACTGCAAATTGCATTCTACCTCGAAGTTGGCTTGTTACTTCAGCATTGTTTTTTAGTTGAGTTTTGAAAAACCGTCCTTGTTGAGATATGACCTAATTACTTGTCTATTTTTATTTAATTTCATGTTTTGTTGTAGGTTGTTGGGGGGTGGGTCTTTTTTTAACATTTTACATTGTTTTAAAGTGTGTAATTTTATTTTATTTTATATTTATTTAG